ATTGAAGTATCTTCTAAGTAAGGTGATACAATTAATACTTTTATTGATTCTAATATAGCTATTTAGTATTTTAAAAGTTTAAGTTATTTTGTTGGTAGCTGTTAATATTTGTTTCTGTGACAGAGCTCTGTTGATAGAGTTCCATTTTTGTTTCTAACTTGAACTAATTCTTCTAGTCTTCTATTCGTAAGAACAGTCAACATAAGGTAAAAAGATAAATAACCAGTACAATCACTCAGTGCAAACAGTGAAGTTGAAGTGTAACTGCTGCAGAAGTTCTGTATTCTGGCCTTACAGTGAGTATTTCTGTTAGAAATTGCTTTCCTTGTCTTTCGTCTACTGTGAAGACAGTCTTTTAAGGATGTCTTCTTGCTCACAGGATGCTGTGTATGGAGAAATAACTATTACACATTTTGGGTTAGTGCTTTTTTGGTAACAAAACCAACAGCATTAATGGAATTCTAGTCTGTCTTATTTTCTCAATAGAAAACATAGATACAACAAACAGCCTTGGTTAAGCCTAAAAATATTCCACAAACTCCTGAAGTTTCAGCTTAAAAGATCTTTCTACCTGTGCACTGCACCTACTTGAAACTAAAATAAATTTACCATGGAACTTGGCATTACTGTTCATGGTCATATTTCAGATTATAGCTGTATTACGCAGCATGGTTTCAAGAACCATACATGAGAAATGTTTGTTTTATTTTTAAGTTATTTGAGATGTTCCCTCAAAATCCCTATCTGAAAGATCTTCTCTTCCCTGTAGTGCACTTAGAAGGTAATAGCAAAATAACAGAACAAGTATCTATAAACATTTACAGCTACGTTTTTGTCTTCTAAAACAAATGTGGGAATATTTAATGTACCTCTACCCTTTTAGTCACAAAGATTTCACATTCAGGGTGTGGGGGAATGGAAAGCAGAAAAAAGTATCTTTGAAAGGCAAATATTTTAGTCGTTATGTTTATCATCAAGACTGGTGGTTTTGGTTTATTAATTCATTGCATAATATGATGCCTAAAACTGGTTCAAGTTTACAGTATGTCTGCCACAAATTGGACTTAAGTGGTCTGTTATCACGCACTTTAGTCATGTCATTATATTTGATAGGTTTGGGGTTTGCTAATAAATGATGACAAGGTTAGTATTTGGTTATTGTGTATTATAAGCTCTCATATATAAAACCTGATCATAAGCAGCTTCAATACATAGCAAAATATTTTTAGTTAATGTGAGAATACGTTTGTCTTCACCTTAAGTAGTTTTCTTTACCTTTTTACAAGGTGAATAATTACTGAACATCAGAGCCTGGCCTCAGGTTATGCTGTTATTAATCCAGAGTAACCATTGTCTTTATTAGAGCTATTCTATAATTCACCATTGTAGTTAAAATCAAAATAGTATATTGAAGTTGTTCAATTTCCATTCCACTTGGACACTGTTACATGTAGGCTAGGGGTCGTTTTGCTTTTCCTGAATTAGTCTCCTACAAAAACTTGTCTCCTTGTATAAATCTTATTTGGGAGGGCCATCAAAATGTGGCTAACCCATTATCTTAAACTGGCAATAAAAAACCATGGTATATGTTCACTGTAAAAATGTTTTCTATTTATTCAAAGTGCAGAATCTGGCCTAGAATTTAAACTATAATTTAAATCTTAATAGGTCAGAGTGTGCTTACTATGGTTTCTTTTCAAAATGTTGATTCAAAACATGAAAGAGGAAATTAAATGGCTGGGCCAGTACATACAGTGCCTGTGGATTACCAGTGGCAGTAAGGAGATTCCAGCTTAAAATGGCTTTTGCCTGCTGCACAGCATACAGGGCATCTTTGGTCGAGAGAAAAAGAAAATGCAATTAGAGATACAGTCACTGATATCTAAAAATACGATTTAAAAGTGTTCTAGAACACAGCACAAACCATTTAGAAGGAAGTATAGTTTTTAAAGTTCTCTTCATTTCAGGGCACGTTTTGGCAGTATTCTTCATAATAAAGATGAAAAAAACTTTTTCTAACCAAGCGTTCAAAGCCGAAAGACTTGAAGGCTGCAGTCAGTTCAAGTGCTGTGTGAGACAAAAATAACAACCTCGGAGCGTCAGGTTTTCCATTCTTGACGCACCAGGTGAATGGGTTGTTTTATGGAGCGTTTACACTGTGGTGGCAGGGCAGGCCAGAGGAAGGGAGTGTGGAAGAGCGATGCGAGAGCTGAGTCAATACCCAACGTTGTTGGATGTCTGTCCGTACTTGGAACGGTAGGGTTGGCTGTGTTAGCGTTGCCAAGTATTAGCTAAGTGTGCTGCTTTGGCAGCAGATTCTCAGAATGTACTTTTTACAAAGAGGGAGAGTAAGTTCATTTTAAGAAGAACAAAAATCTGTGAGGGCAATTATTTTGAGGGCTACTTCAACACTCACCCTGAATTTCTCTAACTTCCCAAATAGCTTTCTACTCTGCGTATTTAAAACCAAACAAACTTTGTAATTTTATTTGTATTTCTTGATTGGTTTTTTCCTGATTTCTTTTAACACTATTTCCTTTTTAAGTTGCAGATAAGTGTTTACAAAACTCTTCCACTTTTAAAAGCCTGTTACAGTCTACAATGTATCTTTTCAGTTGAGTTCGGTGAAACAGAAACACTATGGACTAAAGTGCATTCACTTCTACAGCCTTAAGTAACAAGGTGGCTTATTCATGACCCTTCAAGTGTTTATGTAACTACATCGTATGTACTGTTCTATTGCATATGAGCAACTCATGACTGTAGCACCTTTCACTTCTCATAGTATTTCTGTAGTCACCAGCAACGTTAAATATGAACCAAAAAAGCATAGCACTCTGTAGCCTGTACAGAAGGACTCAGAAAAACAATATATATAAATAAAAAAGCACCCCTCTGTCTCTCCCATCTACCATCCTGAGTGCGAAGTCCTTTTTCTTGCTAATCAAGGGGTTGACTGTTCTCACTGTATTCTGATTCCTTCTTCCAAGCCTCCTGTAGCCTGTTGTACAAAGAGAGACAGAGGTGGGAATTGGGGCATGAAGAGGGATTCCTGAAAAGTCAGAGACGCACGTTTTTCTTCCTGAACCACCTCATGTTTCCTCATAAACAATAACGCAGACCCACATTTTACATTTAATTAAAGATCTGCTGTGTCATATTGCTTCACAGGACAGGAGATATGGTTCTCATTTCAAAGAAACTAAAATTTTGAGATGTTGTAACTTGAGTATGACAGATAAGAAGGGAGAAAGGTGATAATATGTACCCAGGCACTATGGGAATGCATCTATGTTATATGGGAAGGTTACCAAATCACTAACGTGCACTACGGGGAGACAGGTTTTGATGGCTGGGGAGATGTTGAAAAAGGAGATGATGAGAAGGATCTCATGGAAAGTTCTGTCATTCATTTTATTTAGTCAAATTTTTACATTATCTGCACCTTTGGGGAGCTTTTGTGTGCGCCTGAAGGATCTGAAGCATTACAGTATGATAAGTCTTCGCTGACTAACTCAGGAGGGGTTCTCAAAGAATATGGATGGTAGAAAACAAGATTTGTAAAACAGCATGTTGAACAGTTAATGCATCCTTTTTTTTTTCTTTGAAAAAAAGAAACTGAGAATTGTGTAAGATAATAAATAGGAGGGGACACACAGAGCAGTCCCATGCAGTGACTCTGCCAGTGATACGTAATCGGTTACAGAACTGTGTGTAGCTTTGTAAGGCCTGCCTGTATATTCAGACAGTGCTATTGCAGGTTTAATACTGCAAGCACCTGTGTGGCAAGTACTTCACGGTGGGATAACTGCAAGGTTGATTGAGGAATAGATGGATTACTGGAGGAAGCATGCCAGAGAACCAGCTGTGGAACGGAACCTGCTGTTCTTGCCACGGAAATGGAATGACAGTAAAACACATCTCTAGTCAAGACTTTCAGATGCGACACAGTTTGGGAATCTGATAGTGGCCCCAGCACTTTAAGGTGGTTTTTTTGTAAAGGCTCCTGGTTGAGACCCGGTAACCATCTACAGGTCTAATTTGGGTGAAGTCAAACCGGGCGCCTTAGGACACTTGCAACTACTCTTCTCAGCAGTATGTTGCCGTCTCCCAGACAAGACTGGCACACACTCAGTGTGTCAGTGCCAGCACAAAGAAGGGAGTGGGGATGATGTGGCCGTCTGTATCCAGAGCAGGATGATGTGGCTGTCTGCATACAGGGCAGGACTGCAGCAGGCACAGTTTACACTGGTTGTTTGCACATAGAACCACACCCATAGGATTGAGATACTTTTCCTCTCTACCCTCCTAAAGCAGAACGAAACAGTCCAGCTTTTAAGTGCTCGCGGTTAAGAGTAAGCTGTGTAACTTTGTGCTGGAAGACAGCAGATCATAATAGGCATATTTAGGATCTGTTGAGAAACCTGCTTCTTCTTGGCTGGTAGTTAATGCCGTACAGTCAGGCTGTAATCGCTGATAAAACAGCATGGGAAATTAATCAGTATATGTATCAGATCTGTTTTAGCAGGTGTGCTGTGAATGGATGCGAAAGGTTACTTTGTTAATTCTGAAGGTGCAGTTAATAAACATTAAAGTTTAATTTTCAGACTGAAAAATGGATAGCAGCTATTTGGATAGTAACAACTATCTCTAGTTCTTGTGTGCTGTTCTCTGACTTGGCAAGAAAAGAGGCTGTTACTAAATCAATATGAGCTATTCTGGAGAGAAGGAAGTATTTATTTTGTCTGGCACTCCATGGCCCTTTTGCATAATAATGCATGATTAATTATTCTTTTATCACTTATGAGCTTCTTGGTTTGTCTGTGGCCAGATCTAGTTATTTATTTAAACTGCTGTGGTGAGCAACAGCGAGAAATTTCCTATCCCTCTTAAATATATTCTAGTTAATAAATATATTGGTTAAATATATTTTATTACCGCTCTTTGTTAACTAACTTCAGAACTCTATGAAAGAAACAAATATGGTTGTCTATCAACAGGCCAAGTTCTCATAGAAATTTCAAGAACACACAAGAAACTTAATGACAGTCTAGAGGAAAGTGTAAGTTAAACAATGTCTTTTTTAAATTTATTTTTCTTTTGAAATTATAAATTACTCTTGCCAATTTTTAATAACCTTATATTCATTTGCTTTTAAAGTTCAAAAAATTTCATAAAGAAATTATATCTGAACTGGAGAAGAAAACAGACCTGGATGTAAAATATATGAATGTAAGTACATTCGATTCTAGAAGTCATGTTTTATTTATCTATTGCTAGTTAAAGAGTTTTTCAGAAATTGTTCCATAACAGTTAGTTAATCAATCCGTTAGAATAGAGCTTTAGATACTTAAACACGGCAAAAACTTTCATGCTTATTTTGAGTTAAAACAGGAAACAACGCATGACTTAATGGCATTTTAAAACTAAAGTTGAGAAAAGCAATTGCCTAACTCATTTGATGTGTATTAGCGATATCTCATAGATTATAATAATGCTTTTTATCCCTTATCCAGTTACATTGCTGAGTGCATTATGAGATGTTTTAAATGCTTTGATTGCAGGCAACTTTAAAGAGGTACCAAACTGAACACAGAAGCAAATTAGATTCTTTAGAGAAGTCTCAGGCTGAGCTGAAAAAAATCAGAAGGAAAAGCCAAGGAGCACGAAATGTAATGAAATATGAGCACAAAGAAATGGAGGTCAGTGTATTATCTCTTAAGTTACTTGTTTCTTTCTTTGTAGGAGAACTGGTCAACAGAAAATGTTAAGCTATTACAGGTCATATCCGAGTCTGTTTTAAAACTTGAATTCTGAAGCTTACCACAATTTTTGTACATGCAGTGTTAGTAGTTAATACACGTAACTCCACTGTAAGTTGTTTGGCAACAGTTAAACTCTACAATTTCAAAGAACATGTAATTTTGGTTCCTCAAAGTTGGTTTATATTAAACGCACTCCTAGAGTATGTATTCCAGTTGAAATAAAGTTCTGGACTGCTCTGCTGTACATACTCAGACTGCTGCTTCAGTTTCTAGGAATCATCCCTTGACCACTACTTGATTTTTTTTTTTTTAAAGTACCTGTGTACCTATACCTTTATGCAGAGGTTTACACAGGGAGTCAGCTATGCTATGCAAATTCAGTAGTAATTTGCTATAAATTAATTACCCAAAATAGGCAAATGCCAACTTCAGTTATCGCTTATTACTACCTTTCCTACTGATCTTAAAACAGCATTGCCATCTTGAGGTGAAATAAGAAATGGCAAGGCAATGAACAGAAACTATTTCAAATAGTAAGTCAGATTCTGGTTGTCATGTATTGCTCAGAAAATACTTCCCATTGATATTTTTATTTGCACAATACTTCTATTTCGTGATAGCTTATATGTTTTTTCCCTCCATATTTTTCCTTTTTTTTTTTTTTTCAAAGAAAGCTTTGTTGGTAACATGGTACAGTAAACATAAGTAGTACTAGCGCCTATTTCTTACTACCTATCTTTTAACCTGCATTCATAACAGTTCTTTTTTTTTAAGATATTGGACTGAGAATTCATGGATTAGCATTTAATCACAGTTTAGCCACAAATCCTCATAACCTCAGACAAATGTAGTGTAGTCTTTTTAGTAACTCATTTTCCTCTAAAATGAAGGAGAGATTCATCATAGCTTTGTGAGAGTAAACATAGCTGCTGTGGAACAGATGAAGGTAATTAGTCCAATTAGAACACCTGTGGCCTTAAAATTGCTCAGCACAGTTGCTGCTTTGATGTCATATTCTTATGTGCTGCAGCATTTTATTTAGAAGCTAAAAGATTGTTTCTTGTTTTGCTTCACTCACCCCCCCCCCCCCAACTTTTTTGGCTCCCGCCCCCCCCCCCCCCCAATAGATTATTGATTGCCTGTAATAAGAATGGACGTTAACCTGATGAGATTAGGGAAGTTAGGTGTGTGCATGGAGAGAGAAAGACTTGGAAGTAGAGCCACCCTACCCTACCCTGCCTTTCCAAAAACTTTTTCTAAGGCTTTTGGAGTTTGCTTCAGTAGTTGGATGTAGTATCAAATAAAACTCAGATACTGTATGTGATTATTTTTTTTTCTTTTTTTTCCTTAGTATTTGGAAACTGTGAGCTCTCGACAGAGTGATATTCAGAGATTTATTGCAGAAGGCTGCAGAGAAGCTCTCCTTGAAGAAAAAAGAAGATTCTGTTTTCTGGTTGACAAGCACTGCAGCTTTACCCAGCACATGCACTTCTATCACATTCAGGTCAGTGGCATGAGTGTAAACAGAAACGAAACTCCTGAAATCTCATCATACAGGAGATCAGACTGACATAAATAGCTAAGCTAGCACTTAAGAACACTGTAGTGCCAGACAAGTGTTGTGATCAGTTCATAGAAAATGTTTACAATGTAATATTCTCTTAAATGTATTGTAGCAACAATAAAGGGTTACTGCGACTTCTTAAAAATCATATACGAAGAAAAAAAATGTATGGACTGATCAGGTATTTCTAGCACCTGACCCTGAAAAAGGACAGTCTCTTTCTACAACATATTATTTGTTTAAAAGAGGTATTACTTACAAAAATCTTTGAAGAGACTTCCATTTTGCTGGTGTTGTCATTTTGGTATAATAAAAATTAACAAGTAGGTCTGTGCAATTCTATGAAAAAGTGTATCTATCTTTGACAATACCTTTTAAACTTGGATGCAGTGCGCGGACTTCCTAAAATCCAAGCTACCTGGGTGGCAGGAAATCTGTAGCGATGCCACCAAAGTGCCTGAAAAAGTCAAAATGATGATAGATGAAATAAGGACACCTGGTTCCACTCCAGTATCAGGAACTCCACAGCCTTCACCAATGATAGAGAGAAATACCATGGTATGTTGTTCTTTGACGGTTAAAGGTTCTGTCTCTTAAATGGGAGTAGAGTGGCTTCACTAGCTTCTCTTGTACCTAAGCATTTGGGATCAAGTCTATGACGTACCTCGGTTGGAATATACTGGGGTTGGGTATGAAAGCAAAATCATTAAGCCGAAGCTCTGCTGCTGGAAAAATACACAGTATAGTAGGCAGAAGCACATACCCAAACAAGGCTCAGTTTTCAGTTGCGTGCCTAAGACTTTTCCTGCAGAGCCCAGCCTTAGGACTACTTCTGTTGCAACCATTCCATTTCCTACATTCTTATCCATAAGTAATAGTAATTACATATAACAAGATGTTATTTTCTATTTTCTTTCCTTTTTCCTTCTTCCATCCATGATTCTTATTAGTGTATTAGAGTACAGGTTAAAGTCTAAATTCTACCTATTTGTATGTTGTGTCACCACTAGTTGTTGAATTTCTAAATTATATCAGTAAACTTCAAAAAAAAAAAAAAAAAAATCTGGAGATTATCTAGGTGTAACTCCTATTTGTGGAAAGAAAGGCTATCATAGCATTCCCACTAACAAATTTTTATCAAGGGACAGAAGCCTCTTACAAATTATTCTATCAGCAATTTCACAGGAACATGAGGACTTTCTGACAGGACTAAATGGGTATCATTTGGGAATATTTAAGCATTGCTTTCTAGAATTTAATGTTGCAAATAGTTGTCACTGTCTCCTCAAGTGTTGTGATACTGTTGTTTTTGTGACTCTAGATTGGAAGTGATTTTTATCCTCATAATGAAAATACATCAAAGGTGCCCCCTGCTCCTACAGGTAGGGCGTACACCAGTCCACTGGTTGATATGTTTAACAATCCTGCAATGGTTCCAAAGACATCTTCTGAAAAACTAAATAATTCAGCAGGTGAGTGTCACTTTGTTGCAAACTACGTAAGGGTAAATGACATACTATAGTGTTCGAAATTATCTTAGGACTTCTTGACTACTGTGATGATGTGAATTCCAGGACACAGAGGAGTACAAAATGGTCTTTACAAGGTATTTATATAAATTACCTAACAGGAGAAATAAGTGTTACAAGAAGAGAAGAATTGTTTGCAGTAAAATGTAGGTCAAGACAGGTAGATTCTATTTTAATCACTTTCCGTGTGTCCCTGATTAACCCAGCTTAACTGCTCTTATGACTTCCAATCTTATCAGAAGAAAACATTCTATAATTTTGAACAAGATGCATCCAAGTGATTATTTCAGTGCACACAAATAAACATAAGCTATATTATTACAGTCTCACTTTGGTTTCCTTTAAGTGCATGTAGCAGTTAGGGAAGAATGCACATGGGACAAAATGAGCAGTCTCTTGTATTTCTTTCGTGAAATGTAAAATCGTATTAAGATTTGTTTTCTAAGTTTCTAATATATTGATTTTTTTTTTTACTTTCGCTGCTATAAGGAAGGAAGGGAAAGAACTAAGCCTAGATCACAACATAAGAAATGCAGAACTCTTCAATGCGATAATAGCAATTCCAGCATTTCTTCCTTAAAAATGCATTTACAATATATTGTACTGGTCAAATAACATACAATTTTGAGACCTCCTTTACGTTGTCTTCTGGTAAACATCTGGTGTCTGCAAAGTGCCAAGTATCTGCAACTCTCATCGATTCAGCTGAAGTTGAGTGCTAGACACATTTGAAAATTGAAATCTTGGACTTTATACACAGTTACATTTTTTTAGAATGGAAAATTTTCAAAGGTCTTTCATGTCTGTGAACGTTTAGCATTTTTCATGCCAAAAGAGGAAAGAAGTAGCAAGTTAAAACTTATGTAACTTTTTATGTCTGTTGGTTCAACTGTATTGTGATGGGGGGGTGAATATAAATGCACGTGCTATTAAGAACTTCATGGTGATAAGAAACATTGGCAGATAATTGAGAGGTGTCTAAGTGGAAACCAAAGCAGTACAAAGTCTCAGAACTTGATTTGCACTTGAGTATTCCTTTATCTACTTTTTTTCCTGTCAGACTACTAATTGTATTTAATTTTGTTAGTGTGTGGCTAATTTTGCTTTTTTCTTTTTTTGACAGAGAATTCAGATGATGCCAGTTTATCGCGTTCAACTTCTGTTGCCACAGGGCTAAATATAATGAAAAGGCAAAAAGTAAAGACAATCTTCCCACATACTGCTGGAAGTAACAAGACGTTGCTTAGCTTTGCACAGGGGGATATCATCACACTTCTTGTAGCTGAAGAAAAGGACGGCTGGCTTTACGGGGAACATGACACAACTAAAGTGTAAGATAATCAATATATTTCCCAATTTGAACATGAAGGAAAAACGTGTCTCATCAGAATTTGTTAGCAGATAATAGTAAATGGTTTTCCACCTTTTTTGCTGGCTGTCATTGACTGGGGACTTGGAGTCTTTCTGTAAGGTAAATCACTGCACTTATTTTAGGGAGATTTTGTACGCTAATCTGGTATCATCAGAAATCGGGTCTTTAAAAGTTAAATCTCAGTTCATGGAGTCTACTGTGTTGTCCACTGTTGTCTTTTGAAAGATCTTTCCAGTTTCATGTAATAGGAAATCAAAAAACTTTCCCATTACAGAAAAGGATGGTTTCCATCATCATATACTAGACCACTGGAAGAACCAGCGGAAGAAAAAGTGTTTGTTCCAGTGCCAAGGTAACATTTTGGGTGGGACTTGCAGAAATGCTCACACCTTCTCTAACGCTTATTAAAAATGTTATTTTTCTGCTCATGTTCTTTGTTGTTCGGTAACACATACAGTAAATACTTTCTAACAGTCTGTAGTATGATGCCTTGATTACATTAACATGTTTTAATGGTTACACAATTGCCCAAGAACTGTCTTCACCCCAACTTTAATTTAGAGTCCCACTGACTTCAATGGCATTGTACGCCTTTATTAACTCTCAGCTCATGTACTTTTGTGCTTTCCTGGGGCTAAAGATAAGTGAGAGATGTATTATAGGAACTGAAAATGTTATTTGTTGGGTTCTGTCTTGCAGCCCTGCACCAATCCGAAGTATTAGTTCTGTAAACCTTGTGGAAAAAGGTGATGTTGTCCTCCCACCGCCAGACTATCTGGGGTCTTTGCAAACAGATAAAAGAATGGAATCTTCCAAAGGTACTACTGTTAAAACACCAACTGACAGACCAGAAAACACAGGTCTGGTAAGTAATCAATACCATGAATCTAAATGTTCTGCCCTGCTTACTTTTTGTTGACCTACTTAGCTGAGCTCTTAAATGAAGCCCTGGAATATTCTACCTTAGCTACTTGTACTTGACTTCAGCGGCCCTTCAATGCAGCAATCTTCAGCAGTATCATGGGGTTTTGGCATTTCAATCCATCTGTAGTAACAGGAAGGGAGAAGAATTGTTAAGGGATATAACTAAGAGTACTAGGAGACTTACTCTGCATAGCAAACTTCTCAGGAATGAAATCTGTGAAACATGAAAAGAAATTCTCACAGAAAGTAGTGCAAATCCATCATCTTAAGTGATTTTAGAGCTATAGTGGGACAGGGGATTTAAAACAGCATAAACTCTGTATTCAGGAATGCTTTACACAACCCCATGAAAGTTAGCGTTGTTTTTGTGGATGTTGCTGAGGGATGCATGTACTAACTAATGTCTATATCCAGCAAAACCACAGCTGAGTGGAAATACATTTTTATGAATAGATAACACTATATAAAGCTAGTATTTCTGCTATTAAGTCAGCATTCAAACGATGATTCAAAATGAAGACTAATCTAATCAAAGTAAGCAATTACTGGTCTTTTTCTTGCTGTTTGTTTAAATATTTTGCTGATGTGTATCTAATAGTGATAAATGTTTTTGAGACTTTGTTCAAAAAGCCTCTTGAAGCAGAGATCACGTTTTGATGCAAAAAAACTTGCTGTGACTTTACATATATATTAAATATAGTTGTGACTGCTAAAATTGAAAGACTGTACCAGAGTAAGATGCAAAGTTCCATTAATAGGTACCACAGCAAACTTCTCAGAAGGAATCCTGTAGTTGGCTGCCAGTAGCTAAAAAACTCACATTTTATTACTTATTGGTATGACTAAAATATTTTGTATATCAGTATAACATCTAAACAAATTTTGGATTGTCCTTCTGACAGATGTTTTGGCTTTCTAAGTCATCTGTTGAATCATACAGTAGAAATTGAAGTGGCCTTTGTAAATCTGTACTTTATGGAAGTAAAATTAACTAAAAAAAAAAAGCGTAAACTGGAAGTTTGTTGCATCACATTTTGATTAATGGTGAAAGAGTCCATTTAAGTTCAAAGGATGACAGAATGTAAGGGTACTCCTGTAGAATGGAAAGGCATCAGGAAACAATGGTTGTCTTCAAAGACGCCTCCTCTCTTTTTTTGTTTCGTTTAAGTCTACTTATTAGGATGTCAAGTGTACCTACAGCATTTTTTACTCAGAGGTATTAGGCACTGGAGGGGGTTAACAGGTCTTTGTTATATTGACAAGCGAAGAGAATTAACTGTGTTTAAATAAGTAAAAATAGAATCATTTGCTTAATAATAACAAAAATATAACTAACTCCCAATACATTACTCTAGAACTCCAGAAAAAACTACCATTGGAAGGACACAAGCATGACACAAATTACATCGTCAGTAGCATCTGAATTTTAAACTATTATCTGCATTTCAGAAGCATGGAGAAAGACAGAATTTTGACAAATGGGAGGGAAGGAAATTATATTTTCTTTCTTGAGTAAATAGTGTGTCTTCAAAGAAATCACTTTTGTAATCACATCATAGACTTGTATCTAGTTCTTAAAAGAACAGGTCACCTCAACTTTACAAATCTAAAAAAATGTGAAAAATTGCTGGAGGTTCAGCTATACAGGCCTTTCAGAAATGTTCCCTCCAGTTGTACTTGGCTTTGTAAAGCCACTCTACAGCTATTTCAGAAGAGCAGCTATAGATACAACACAGAGACATGTTTCTACTAACTACTGCCAAAATATCTCTTGCAGATGCAGAAATTGAAACAAAAAAGTATCTTTTCTCTGACAGGGAGGGGAAAAAGGCTAGTGCTTCCCATTATAGAAAAATCTGTGATCCTTAAAATGCATGAAGAACTAGAAGCAGAGCTAAGAGTGTTTCATAAGGAAAAGGATGGAAGTTGCCTGACAGGGGTTGTGAAGCTCTCCTCTCAGTTAGAGATCTTACCCCATTTAGACTAGACTAGTAATGTTTGGGAATTTTTTTTTTCCTCTAAATAGTCCTATTAAAATATTAGCTGACTCTTTTTTTTGTCAGAACAGTCTAATATTAAACATCTATATATTGGAATATAGCACATTTGAATCCACATTCAAGTAAGTGGTTTTATTTATCAGCAATGAACCTTGTTGTGTAGGAAGCATGTAATTTGTGCAGTGGTGTGTTTCTAGGACAATGTTTTTCTATGAGGAATAAAGCTTTTCCAATGCATGAAATGAATATCAAGAAATAAGGTCTACCTCTTAGTGTTCAGTCACTTTCAAATCAAGTATCTGGGAAGTTCTAAAATGATTATGAAGACAAACTTCTATATTTTGACACATTTGTGGTTTTCATTTTTGGATAAAGAAGCAATGAGCCTTAACAATTATGTAATGATACACTGGTTCATTTATTCTATGGCTAGCTGTTGAGACCTACGGGATCAACATGTCCTTAAAGTGTAGTTGTGTTCGCAATAGTTAAAAGATGTATGGGCTTGTGGAAGCTGCCAAGCAAGCAGTACAGTGAGTTCTTTGCCCTGTGACAAGTAAAAGGTGACTAACTGTAGAGCTTTAAAATTACTGAATCCGTTAAATTGTCTCAGTATCACCATACTGTGCTGCTGTCTTTAGTGTGGCTAACTGTTCTCAGGCTGTTCTCAAGAGTAGTCACCTTAAGGGTTGTTTTGTTTGTTCTATGGCATTAGTTCAGGGGTTTGGGGAATAAACTTAAGGCTTGTGGGCTAACGTTCTTGTTGAACTGAAAAACCAAGAGGAACGGCAGATCATGTAGTTGATGGACTAGGACAGAATTCTAATTAGACTAGTATATTCTCTTTGGAGGCCAGAATGGGCTTAGAGCCTCTTAGGAGTGGAAAACAAATACATCTTTTTTGAGATTCTAAATTTCCACAGGGAAAGCAAGATTAAAAAAAAAAACCAAATCGGGAATTCTGGAGTACAAAATAATGACTACTCTTGTTGAGGTACCCTGTAACTCATAGCAGCTACCTTTTTACTGTGACCCCATGATTCTTCTTACCTGTTACCATACAAAATAAGGAAGAGAACTGTAGAGGAGAGTCGCTGCACTTGCACCCGAGTTTTTGCTCCGAAGTCACTATTCGCTTTCATTCTTTTGGAAAGTCGCAGAGCTTCCTTGCCTTTCCCGCTTCCGTGCAAGGCACCAACCCCCACACCACCATAAGGCTTTGGAAATAAGCTCAACATTATAGCAGCTGGTTTGTATTCTTGTACATAATTTACATACATGTAAAAGAGCATGCTTACAGTGTCTTTTCTGCGGAAGCGGGAAATGATTCATTGAGGCATCTTATTTTTGTTTCAGAATACACAGAAAGAATACCTCAGGATTTCAAGGAGAAAAGATGAGGAATGGTTCTTGGAAGTTAAATGGTTCATGCTGGGTTATGTGGGACAGTACTATGCAGAACATTATCAACTAAAAAAGACCTAGTAGTTGACAGAGCTTTGAGGGTTGGTGTTCTGTAAGAAGTAGCATGTAATTCAGGCATTCGTTCATTCTAATTAATTTTAAGGGCTAATTAGGCCTAATTCTAAGGTCTAATTCTATTTATGACTGATGTACGTGAGCAATTTAATTGGAATCGCAAGTCAAGCACATGCTTAAGAACCCTGCTGAATTAGGTCCTGAATAAATACAGATTTCTTCACCTGCACGATGGTATCGTGAATATGGTAGCTAGGAACGACTGGTACAATAGATGGTGTACCTGAAAAGGAAAGGCTTACAGGCCTTGCTTTAGCAGTGAAATTTTAAGTATTGAAAACAAAATGGCCATATAGACTGAATGATTAGCACAAGTCAAGCTGGTACATAAAAGGTGACTGCTTATTCCTGCTTCTACATACAAGAATGTATTTTCAGATTTTCACTTTGAGCTTTATCTGACACCTATTAGAAGCAATGCAATTAGTTTGCAGTTTGAAATATGTAATTTTTAAGTATGATTATTACTAAAAGTTAGAGGGGAAAAAAAGGAGAAGTTAACTGCGGAAACTTCCACATAGCACAACAGGCTTGCGAAGGGTAATACTTTGCAACAGTTTTCCATTTTATCACACCTGGAAGGCTGCATCCTGTAGTAGCACTGTGCCAGAGCGACACTGCCATCTTTTGGGTTAGCTTAACTTCACAAGAATAATGTACGCTTCACCACGGAAGTACAGTGCACACTGCAGGTATAAAAACAAGTCTTTTCAGGTTGTATGCTTAGACATGACAGTTCCATTATAATGAAATATTAGCAATAGCTATGCAAAACGATTCCTCCTTTTGTATCACTCCCATACAAACAATGCAAATTATATATGTACATGCCATCAGCTGTTCTCTTGCCTTTCTTAATCACCACCACTACTCACAAAAGTCACAGGAGATACCTGAACTTGTGTTTTGTAAATCAACAATAGCTAAACATAATAGGTTGTATGAAAAAACTCTATATAATACTGATCAGAAACCTGCCCTCACTTAAGGCTTTTAATATTTAAGTATGTCATTATGCTGGCTGCTGCCTTTTCTTGACTTCACAACTTTACAGTTATATGAAGATACACTGACTGTGTTTGCTCTATAAGGTCTGCTCCAAGCCTAGTTTTGGCATTTTGCTGTGACAACTAGCAGTTTATAAATTATGCTATAGAAAAAATACAGTATGATATTTGTGCTGCAGGTAGTTCTGTCCTTTTTCTTTTGGTTGATGGCTGTTGCAGTGACATTTCATTTGCTATTTTAACCTATATAATGCCCAGCTAGACATCGGGTGATCACTGATCTTAAACCTGGAGGGGGGGATAGATGGATACCACACAAAAAAAACCCAAACCAACTAATGCTAACACCATTTTTAACTTTCTAATTTTGATGTTCTGAGACAATTCTCCCCTCCACAACTACCTCTCCACAGTTCAACTGAACTACACAATAATTATTCTAAACAGCTAAGTATTTTAGCCTGCTTGAATGATAGGGTCTTTTTTCCTCAGCAGGATCGCAAGATCACCTGTAGCATGTTTTTGTAAATCTATGTAAATATCTTTTTTCTTTTACAGAAACCTGATATGAATGGCATTATAAAACCGCCTTTTCTAAGGTATGTTTTTTAAAGCTTTTACACTAATTTAGTTGTGTTGATTTTTATATTGGCTTATATTAATGTATTGATTGTGAGGGGAAATAAGGATGTTTTTCCCGAATTACTCTGTGACCTTTCCTAGGAATTAGTAAAACATTATGGCTAAAATTGGTTGTACTTTTCTCAAGAGTGCCATCAGGTAAAATACACTGCGTAGGCCCTTCTCAGAAAAATAAAGTGTTTCTCCAGTGGTTTGACAGGGAGCAGGACTTACACTACGTCTTTGAGGGTTAAAACCAAAAATCTTTTGAAGACTAGGAGCTGTTTAAAAAAAAAAAAGTCCAGATCTAACTAAGCATTAACTTCCCAAATTTTGGATCACTGCAAAGTGAGTCTTCATATGTAAGCTTGTTTTAAAAACTCAAGTTAAACTAAGCGTTGCACAGAATCCTTTATTCTAAAAACCATAACTTTAGTCTTCAAACAACTTGTATGAAGAAACTGCATGGCTTAAATTTGGTTTTGTATTGCAGCAAGCCTTTTAGTAACTTTGTGCATTTCTTTTCAGTGGAGAAAATCCTTTTGCAACTGTGAAACTCAGACCAACAGTAACAAATGACAGATCAGCACCAATTATTTGATGAATATATGGTCCATACACATGTACTCCCTCCTTATAAACACCACTTTCAGTAATGACAATTACTGTCTAAACTTGTTCTAAAAATTTATTTAAATGTAATTACTGTACAATAGAAGCATACTGGAATGGATTTCTGATTTTTTTTAAAACCTGTACCTTCTAATGAGGTAATTGCTTTGGGCTAGTGTTTGAGCATTCTGGCTTGATTTTACAGTATGCCTTTTTTTGTAGTAGGAATTGTGAAAATACTGGAGATAGGTTGGATACGCTAGGAAACCAGTGTAACTAATAGCTCACAAATCTGAATCTTTGGCATTCATTATTTGGAAACTGCAATGATAAGTTCTAGAATATAAGCCTGCATATGCCACTTACTAAATAAGAAAAAGATTATTTTTTTTTCCAAACAGAACAATGTAACAACTGCCTTATTCCAGAATAGAGAATTGCCTGTATAAAGTGATTATATGTTATTTTGTTTAAGACAGACACCCTAGGTTATAAATAAATATTTATCCTTTAAGAATAGACAACTTGTAATGCTTTTGCTTAATGTTCAGATACAAATTTTCAAGTGTTAACCCTATTAAGTCTAATGTACTGTCAACACATTCTTCAATTATAACTTTTTCTTTAAAACATGTTGTCAAACTTTAGTCTTACAAAAAGTCATAATAAAACAGTGCCATGATTTTTTCCTCAAATGCTAATATAAAAAGCTACCTTTGAAGTTACTCCATTACTGCAGCCTTCCACAAAAGAAAAACAGATTAAGTTTTTGAAATTTTTTCTTAAGGACCATACCAGTGGCATAAATACTGGCATAGTATAGTATCTAAATGAAATATAGCTTTTAACTTCAGTCACAAGATAGTTGTACAGTTTGTTACCTCAGGCCCAGATTTTCTAAATCTAATGGAGCCAGCTTGTCTGAAACTTTTCCTACAGTAATAATAATCTCAGAAATTAACCTAGAATGTTAGAAACTGACTCTTCACTCTGCATCAGCATTGGGTGCTTTATCACTGTACAGTTCAGGTGGTATTTCCTACCTGCTGTATGAAGTCCATATCATGACTACTGCCAGTGATTAAAGCTTACTCTAAATCATTCTACTTCACATATGTACGTGCTTCCTCCAGCATCCCATGGATATTCGTTTTGATGTGCTGCCTTCTGCTACTATAAACAGTGAATTCAAGTCATGTGAAAGGCCTTTCAGCTACTTAATGTCAAAAAATAGTATATGAGCATGTGATGGCTGCAGAGGTGAAGTCCACTCATTCTACCTCCTCCTCTCACACTGCCGTTCAAGGCTGAGGACACTTTTTGTTTGCTATGGAACCCTGCATAAATATCCATTATCCTATTTTGAAGCACCAACTCTTCAGAGAGTAACTTACACCCAAGCCCATTTTCTAAAGCATATTAGAGGCAAGTCAACCTCGACTCAGGGCAGCTCATAGTTGGCAGTGCCACAGCCTCTCTTTCTAGAGAAGAGTTCCCTGCTGCAGTCAGAAGTTATTGTTGTCTGCGAACTAATACCAGCTGTAGCAGATAGGACACTGTCACTGCAGCCCTTGGAGGTCGCATGTGTCCCTATAAGCAAAACCTTTACTAATTAAAACAGGGCTCTTACTGTTTGTTATTACTAGGGCCTTCAGAAGGCACAGAGGATCCAGTAGCGTAGCAGTAGCACACACAGCACTTGTGACACTTTCCTCAAAGACATCTGATGTGCTTACACAAGTACAGCCCTAAACCATGTCTTTTTTTATCATAAGGATTCTGGCAAATATTTATACTTAATTTGTAGCTAGGATTACTAACTCCTCTTTCAGACTACATGTTATTAGACACATTAGTCACATACTTAATAATCCAACCACAAGTTGAGGATTGCAAAAGGAAAAGCAGTTTTATTTAGTTTTCAACAGGTGCCACTAAACATGGAAAACAAGTTGGGTTTTCATGTTTTGCAATGCACATGCTCATAAAAGATTGTTTAAATTACATGCAAGAGACTAAATTTCTTCACACTTTACAAAACAGGTCTGAAGCAAATAAAATGATTGTACATAACATTTACATTAGAAAGAGTATGCTAACAGTTGTAGCTTCCATAAGCACATCCACGTTCATCCCTTAGCCAAAAGCTGCCCCACAATTTGGGCATCTTCTCTGCCTCAGTGCAAGGCAGAACAGAATCCCAATTGGAAAGAATACAATGGCACACAAAACACCAAGACAGGTGAAGGTGTCCTCCAACACGCCAACCCTGTAAAAATGGAAAACAGACTCAGTCAAGGACACCCACCAAGTTTGCCCCAAAGTTACCACTTTGTGATCTGGCAGTCACTAAAAACCACAACATTTTATATAGCAAGATGAAGTACAAAGAGGTTTTGGGGGTTTTTTGGTTTTGTTTTGTTTTTTTCTTTAAAAGGCTTTTATTTTCATAGCTTGCAGCAGAAGGTTTTGAATTATACCACTTAACAGGAAAGTTGCAGGTGATCAACTGTAGATAAGAAATCTAAAAGGTTTAATTCAAACTAGCTGTTTAGTTCCAGACAGCAACCATTTCTCTATCACTGCAATCAAACCATAGCCACCACACCTCTGAGCAGTTGTATCAACTCCAGATATTGGTTAGTGCAAGTACACTGAAGAACACACACAGGTGTAGCACCTGCTTTACAGCAGTGCTGTAAACAAGTCTCAGCACTCTCAATTCAGACAGCTTTAACATGAAAGCCTGTACCTCTGCAGCTATCTCTGGTCCCTAAAGAATTTGAAAGTCCTGGTTCTTCTCCCGTATTCTTGCATCCTAGCTCAACTAACCTTGCCAAGTAACTACACAGGAATAGAAGATCACACATTCAGGACAGAGAGTGTAAGCAAGTATCAAACTTCATTCCTTGCTAGCCCTTCTTGGGGTCAGGTTTTTCTGTACAGGTAAGGATACAGTTTTCTAGAACTAAACCTTAGTGTCACTAAAGTTAACTCTCATAAAAATGAAGAGAAGCCTGCTTTTAAAATAATTTACTGACTCTTCTGGAATGATACAGTGCTAAAGATTTAACTGTACCAGTGTTGTTGTACTGGTTATTGCACACCAAACAATTTCTTAGCTTTTTAGGTCTTTTACAACAGGCAGCAGTCACAGTTGTGTCATGTGCTTTGTCTACCTAGTTTCCACAATTATCCTGGGGTGAACCCTCTTAGTTCCTTCAACCTCAAGTTTCCCACAGTGTATGTACACTAGAGCTCTTTCAGAAAATAAAATAATCAATCATCCTTGTTTTCTGAATGTTTTGGTCTGGTGATTTGGTGCTTTTCCTCAGCTTCTTCCTAAGTGAAAGATTTGAATGGGCAGAGAGTTGTGTAACACTGGTTAAGGGCTTCTGGTAAAACATCCAGCTCATGCTTTCACTAAGCAAGTTAAAACCATTGCAGACAGCAAGATGCAAATAGGTTCGTTTCAGTCTGTTACTCCAAATTAATGCACAACTTGGCCATGTCTGGTTCCTGCAGTTGCCAGCACATTCTCTCAGATGTCCTGACATATCTTTCTTCAGAGAGCACAAGTCAATATAATTAACATGCAAAGGGCTAGGTGCGCTGGACATTTAGGGCTCTGACCAATTCAGCAGGGTAAGAAGGACTTAAAAAAAAATTCTAACTGTAGATTTACAGTGAAAGAGTACTTCAAATGTCAGCACTTTGTTGTGGAAAGTGCCGATTAAGTAAGCGTGTAGAGGACTATGCTAACTAGTCACATTCAGACTTCCTAAGTTACCAGAACAGCTCAGAGGTACAGCACTACTGTCATAAGCCATTTAACATGTTTATTTCTGGTAGCTAGAAAAGTCCAAAGGCCAAACACGCATCACTTAAAATAACCTTCAGTAGATGTTCCCAGTTTCTACTTCCAAAAACTGATGTCCCTTTAGAACTGTAGGAGAACCTACTATCGATGTCATTTGGCTCCATCTGAGTCCCAACTGAATGGGGACCACCCTACATGAGAAATTCTGTTTCAGCAGTTCTGTGACAGCAGAAATTTACCTTAATTTCAGTCCCTGACTTCTCTCTCAAGTGCTGTATCTAAACATCCCCCAAAATGAAGACAGACAGTAAAGCCTGAATATTCAGACTTAAGAAATTTGACCATCTATACTAAATAGTCAAAATTCGAGTTTAGCAAAAGACTTGAACAAGATGCATCCTCTTAGATTCCCTGGTACAGCGAAAGTCAACAGAAGCAGAGCTAAGTGACCTTGAAATACATGCTACAAGCAAGATGCCAAGGCCAACAAGTTGTTGTTTCCCTA